TTAGGGCCTAAGGCTGGCGAAGCCTGAGATGTAGATTCCCGCCGATAAACATTGTTTATGAGTTAATAACCCCCTGCATCTATAAACCCTAAACCCTAAACCCTAAGCCCAAAACCCTAAACTCTAGACCCCATGGCATCCTAGGGGATCTAATTCTGAGCTCTCTCGGGGGGTCTGTGCAATGCTCCAGCGTCCGGCCCTCTGTTCAGGACGCTGACTTGATTATCCGACTGCTGTCCGAGCCCCAACTGGCAAGTTTGTCGCTATGGGAGTTTCTCAAGACAGTCCCTACACGACACCCCAATCGGGACGCCGCTAAATCCCCTTGTAATTACTTACCAGGTATTTTTTTACGATATCCAAAGGTCCCCCCCCCCCTTCGAGAAATCCCTACATCCTAAATTCCAAAACCCTTAAACCCTTAAACCCCTAAACGCCTAAGACCCTTAACCCTAAACCCCTAATCATAGCCTTCCTGGAACATTTTGCCAGCTTTGAGGCGTTGCCTGGCACGGGCGAGGTTCAAAGACAAAGATGCCTTGCATGCTGTGGCGTGCACCTCGGGTCCCTCCGGTTGCTTAGGGTTTAGGGTTTAGGGTTTAGGGTTTTAGGATAGTGTTGGGATAATAGGGAGTATACGGTTATCTAGGGATAATGGACAAGTTTCAAAGAAAATGGGGTTTAGGGTAATATTGGGATAATAGGGAATATATGGTTATATAGGGATAGAAAAGTTTGAAAGAAAATGGAAACTAGTATTTAGGGGTTAGGGTCTGCAATCCGAACATCTTGCTTCCAGGTTGGCAACTTGTCTTTTTCTGGCAGCACGCCTTCCAACCTGTCGTGGTGGACTTGGTGCTTCTTCTGAGAAGTGGTTGGTGCATTGAGGAGGAGAAGCATGGAAGCATGTGCAAGTCATGATTCCATTCCGTTTCCCTAGTTGTGGCCAGCTGACTAGGGCTATTACTCTTACTCTTACTACTACTCTTACTACTACTACTACTGCTGCTACTACTACTACTACTACTGCTGCTACAACAACAACAACAACTACTACCACTACTACTACTACTACTACTACTCCTACTCCTCCTACTACTACTACTACTACTACTACTGTTACTATTCCTATCGTGCTATCAGGTGCTTCTCCTCAGCCTTGCTGGCGTTGCGCGAGGCTCTTTGTGAAGAGGCCTGCAGGAGATGTGGCACGCCTGTACTTGCAACTTACTGCGTGAAGAGGTCGAACAGTGAATTCACTTTGAAACTAGGAGCAACACAGCTCTTAAAGTTCTCAAGTCATGCATACATGAATGCCGAGAACATGTCTGGACTAGCCCTCATCTTAAGGCAGACATGTGATATGATCTGGCATCTGGCACCTCTGGTCCTCTTATTGCCTTGCCACAGGAGATGGAGGCGGTGTTTCGAAGGTGCATATCCTTGCGTTTTTTTGGGATGTTTTGCATCCAATCTCACCGGATTGGTTTAGCGCATTGATGTACACGTCCATACATGCATGCATGCATGCATNNATGCATACATACCTACCTACCTACGTACGTACGTACATGCATATATGCATACATACATACGCACAGACATGTCAAATTTGCCACTTGCGGTTTAGAAAATTTGTGCCCGTGTACACGCATTGGCAGGAGCTGCGTGAGAGCAACTATCAGATCAAGACAGATATTGTTGAGAAATGGTTAGGGTATTTACTCTCTCCCTGCAACTTCTCTGTACGCACCATCCCGGGATTTCCCTACATACCAACAGTTTCTCTTTCTTGGACTTTCCGATACTGGAGCAAGGCCCTGAAACCCCAAACCCTCAGCCCTAATCCTCACACCCCAAACCCGAATCCCCACACCATCAACCCCTGATCCTTTAACCCTAATCCCCGAACACTGGGCTGACGCGCCTACCTGGGCACTTGCCAGAACCTGCACAGAAGCTGGATGCACAAGGCAGCCATAAAGAATCCCTAAGCAGCCCCGCCAGCTTCCCCAAGTCTTTAAAGAACGCAAGGCTTAGGTTTTAGTGTTTAGGGCTTAGGCTTTAGATCCTAGGTTTTTGGTGGTAGAGTTTGGGGCTAAGGTTTAGGGTTTAGGGAAAGTTTAGGGTTTTGTGTGTAGGGTTTGAGATATTCCATGCGTTCCAGCCTTGAACTGCAAGCCCAAAAGCCGAAACCTGGAAGCACAACAAGCACTACTGCAAGTCACAGCCTCAACAACCCTAAATGAAAGCTGCCCAAAAGTAGGGGAACCTTTTTGGGGTTCCCCATACTAAGGATTACCGTGTTTTGGGGACTATATTAGGGTTCCCCTATTTAGGAGAAGCACCAAATCTCATGCCTGTGCCCCAAAGCCCTGACTAATAAGACTGAGCTTAGGATTTAAGATTCAGGGTTTGGGATTTAAGGTGTACAGTGAGACCCTAAGCCCGAACCCTAAAACTCCAAATCATGATCTGCAAGATGCAAGCCCTAAACCTAAAAGCCTACACCCTAAACCCTAAAACCCTAAACCCTAAACCTTAAACCCTAAACCCTAAACCCAACCGCATCAGGCTTGAAGACCGAGCCCTCGAGCACAGGGAGGAGGCCCCGCTAGCGTCGAGACTGTAGTGGGGTCCTTTTAGAGGGGTTTCGAAAATGACATGGAAATCGGATTACGTAGCTGCTTCTATAGGGGTATTATAGGGAATGTTTGTGAGATGAGCCCTGCATCCTGATGGGAAAGACTCCATATGATTTAGGTGACACTCTTCAGCTACCCGAAAGTTCACAAAGAAATCCAGTGTTGAGGAACCCCCTATCTCGAGCCGCCCCAAAACGAGACATTGGCTTTTGGTGTTCAGGGGCTTTGAATGGGTTTTACAGATGTGAAGGGTGCTAGATTTTGATTTTGATGTCAGTCCCTAAACCTAAATGCTACACATAAACCCTAAAAACCCTGAGCACGCAGAAGTTTGCCACGTGCATCATACCCACATCGTGCCATGTCTCCAGTGAGCAGCAAAAAGAGATTTGAAACCGTCATCCCACACGCAACCTTGTTGAAAGTAACCAGCGATGTTTGCAACACGTGGAAGTGCTTGTGCAAGTGTTGCCATTTCGGCGCGGTCCTACGAGTTCTTTGAGTATCCTAGCAGGATGAGTAGATTGCGATTAGGCATGCTTGTGCTTGTGGCTCTGGCTCTTGCTGGCGTCTGGACATTGAATGCACGGGCCAGCACTGGTCAGCAAGCAGAGGCACCGGCACATCCGGCGCCAGCCTCAGATACTGGCAGGCAAGTCAGTATGGGTGGCGAGAGAGATGCAGCGAGCGCTCTCTTGGCATCCGATTGCAGACGTCCTGAGTCAGAGCCCTCGCATCTGCCAGATGACTTGCGGTGCTGCAAGTTTCCAGACAAGACGGATCAATTTGGCAGTGCGCCATGGACCCGGATGAACCAGGCTGCTGGGACAGAACAAGTTACTGTGCACTTTTCGAGTGTTTCCCGAAGTGCAGATACAACCTTGAGTATCAGAATATGATCACGTACTGGGCGCCATTCAGGCCTGGCAAGCGAAAAGGAATTGTGCGGGAAAGTGGCGTCCAGAGCAATTGTGAGGGGCTTGAAGCTTTGTTCAGGCATTACAGCTTCTCACGTGCACGCCGCAGACCATGCAAAACAGTGGTTGGCAGGGAGGCATGCTGATCTTCCAGTTGAACAGCAAGGTTTTGCTCTGTCCGAGCAGTGGTCGTTGAGATCAGGACCTTGCACACAGCATGGGCAAAGATGTGCAGCTTGTGTTTTTTTCGGAGCCAGATCAAGAAAGGCTGTAGTTGCTATTATTTTGGGCCTTTGCCTCCTCAGCTTGCCAAATGTGGTCACATTGCACCAGCACACGCATGCATGATGGCACAGTACTCTATTATGCATCCGCACGACCTCGTGCTGTCTGTTTCAAAGCTAGTCTAGCTCTAGAATTTTGGCTCCTTTCTGCCCATACTTCTGATACTGATTTGCTCCGGTCGCTTGGGTATTGCGCATTGAACCAGTCGGCCAGCTGAAAATCTGTATGCGGAACAGTGCTTGCCCCAGCTGGTCTTTTTAGAGCCCATGGGTCAGGTTGAACATGTTTGCAAGACCTTTTGACAAGCACTCAGTTTCCTGCACATGAGCGCCAGTCCCTGCAGGAGATGAGGATGTGTCCGAGTACTTTGAGAACATTTTGCAGGTGAGCCACCCATACTGTAATCACCCTCGCGGTGTCCAGTTTGTCAAAGACCGCTCTCCCCGCACCAGGGATAGTCATTGGACGCAGGCACGTGTTCTGCGCTTGGGTTGGGCCAGGAGAACATTTCAGCATTGTTGGAAGATTACAGGGCCCAGCACCTAATTGTTCTTGCATTCTACGCCACGTGGTTCACGAGACAATTCAAAGCAGCCACTGGCCTTGACGTACTGTCGCAGCCGTTGGACCTGCAGCAGCACCATCCCTGGATTCAGGGTTCGCGGCGCTGAGCGCTGGTATTACCGTGGCATGCCTGCAGTTGTATGAGATGGGATGTTGTGCAACACAAACAAGCAACAGCTTGAGGTTAGACATGATGCCTGCTTCTCAGTTTCTTCATGTTTGGATCACACACAGCATTGACTTAGGTCCGAGGGCTCGAAATTCTGGCCGGACGGCATTGCAAAGTATGTTAACGGCTTCAAAAGATGCCAAGGTCGAACGCGGCAGGCAGCAAGTGGTACAGCGGTGTATACAGCGCCTTTAAGACCTAGGGGCCGTTTTAGTTAGACGTAAGCCCCTAATGCTGTCAGGACGTGTTGGAGCTCGGCAGCGACAGTGCGCGGCTCAGGGATGGTTGGAGCCGATGTCGGAGCTTGTAACGTCTCTTCCTGTCCCTGGCACTTTGTGGCTGAAGCCCAGTGTGAGATTTCATTCAGCCGTGCTAAGGGAGGGGGATCCGCCCTCTGAGCTTTCCTCGAGTTGTGACGCCATGGACGTCCCGGCCGTGCAGCCTTCGAGCAACGTCGCCTTCCACAAGGGAGAGCGTGTCCTTCTGGACAGAGCTAGCGCGGGCCGACCCAAGCAACTGGAGGACTTGAAGCGGAAGTTCCAATCCGCTTTGGAATCCACCAAGTGTTTGGTTGGCCTGGACATGGAGTGGAAGCCTGATCGTTGCAAAGAGAACAGCAACCACGTTGCGCTGATTCAGCTTGCTTTCGGCGGCTCTGTCTGGCTTGTGCGAACTTGTGAGATCGATCTCCCCCACTTTGTCCGCCAACTGCTCAAGGACAGCTCTGTTGTGAAGGTCGTTGCTGGTCTTGATTCTTCTGACCGGAACAAGATGCAATCATCGTTTGGCATAGAGGTTCCGAAGAATCCAGAGGAAGCGGGCTTCGTGGACATCAGCCTGCTTGCCAGAGAATGCGGTTTTGTCGGCTCTGGAGTGAAGAAACTTTGTGAGCGGTACGGCCTCCCGATAGAGAAGAACAAGAAGGTAAGCTGCTCCAACTGGGCAGCGGCCAGGCTGACAGAAGACCAGCTTCAATATGCCTGTGATGATGCCTTCTTCACCTTGCTCTTGGGAGGACGGCTGCTGCAAGAGGAGAAGGTCTCACCTTCAATGCTTCGCACCCGTGCCCGGGCGGCCTGCGATCTGGTGCTCCCGGTAGCAGGTCTCAGCATGCGAACGAAGGACATGTCGGAGCGGCGCGCGGAGGTCAATGCCTTCTTGCAAGAGCTCAATGAGGCCATTTCCCGAGCCTGTGAAGCTGAAGGGGTGGCAAAATTCCCAGTTGCCAAATTGGGGCAACTTCGCGACAAGATTGGCGTGGCTTTTGGTGATCGTGCGAGCCTCTTGCTTGTTCCTTTAGGAGCGCGCTTCCTCAAAGAGCAATGCCAGCTCTTTGGCATTAGCAAGCAAGACCATGTCTGGGCACGTTCCGCTGCAGAGACGGCACCTTTCACGGATGAAGAGAAGTCTCTCGAATGGGCATCCGCTCCCGAAAAATCCTTGCAGACATGGCTGAGCTTGCAGCAGCCTCGCATGGCGAAGCAAGAGCTTTTGGGTCGCCTCGGCCTCTTGGCCCGAGCTTTCGAAGGAGTGGAAGAGTCGGCCAAAGCCTTTGCTGTGCGGAAGCAAGCATGCGAGTTGAGCGCATCTGCGACAGACTCGCCGGACCCTCCACAGCGAGGGCAGGCTGCTCGGTCCGCTGCAGGCCTCCGGCCTTCCGGCAACACCAAGATCGTGGAATGCCGCCCGCGGCCGCTGCGCAAGAAGTCTGATCCCCAGACAGTGGTGGCGCGCGGCATCCCCAAGCAGTGACCCAAGGAGATCCAAGGAGGATTTCAGAGAAAGGTCGAGAGAGACTTTGGTGCTGTCGTTGACCTGCTCATGCCATTGAACAGCTACAGGCTCGCACTTGCGCATGTTCTTTCTGTTCTTTGAGGGTGCTTTGCTAGGAGGAGGTGCTTGGCCAGAAGAGACCCTCCCTGGCCACCCAAGGTAAAGAATGTATGTCCTTATATGTCCACCAACCGGGGTCCTTCTTGAGTTTATTACTAAACTTTACTATGCTAGACTATACTATTGTGGCAGAGCAGCCGAGGCAAGGAGCAGCACTTGGGGTTTGGTTTTGTCCACCTCCGGGGTTGTACAGAGCAGATTTTGCAGCCTGGAGGCAGTTTTGGATGGCGCCCGCAGAGCTTTCAAAGCCTATTGCTCCAAAGGCTTGGCGAGAGCCTTCCTTTCGGCCCGGTCTTCATTGACTGACCCTTATTTTGGTGTAGCTAACTCAGGCTACCTGTGGAGGCGAAGACAGGACAGAGTTGCCCCCAGGTTCGATGCATCTGTGCGTCTGTGCGATGCCAGGATCCGGAAAAATAGAGGAGCGCCAGAGATGTCTGAGATTGCTCTAAGTCTAGACCAGTGTGTGTAGTTCGTTGCTTTTGTGAGAATGCTTAGTGAGATGGTTTTTGGTGCCTGAGGTGTAGTGCGGTCTGGCTTTCTCAAGTTGCAGGACACGCTCCGCCGTGTTGTTCTCAGCCAGAGACTAGAGGTTCGTCATGGGTGTGAACTATGGCCTCCACAGGCATCATTTCCGTGCTTTGGGCATTTGGCGCTTCGGCGTTAGGTAATCTGAACCGTGAACATGCAGCTCCTGGGCAATCCAGATGTTTCGCTGTCAGGCGCAAGCTCTTGGTCTTTGCGGCGCATGGTGGCGCTGAGCAACATCCCTGCGAGCTTGGAAAAGAAGAGTCGGGCTCAGCTCTATCGCGACGTGCATGCCTGCATCTTGCTTTTCGAGGAACTCCGCTCGGATGGTTCACTCGCCAGGTTGTATGTTCTGCGAATTACTGGCTTGTTGAGGCTGCTTCGACAGGCTTGGTAATACGTAAGTTGCCAGGAGGACCAGAAGTAGCTGCATCACAAACGGCAGCACCGGTCGGCCCTGTTAGAGAAGTACAACCATCGAAGATGATGACCACTGCCATGCCGATGGTACTACAGTTAGTCATCTGGTAGGCGGCTTGCAGATGATCAGGCTGCACTTCCTGCTTGCGCAACGCAGTATTAGTAAAGTTTTGCAGCTACCCTGTTTGAGCCTGACATACCGGCATGCGGCAGCAGACGAATATCAAAGTGTCAAAAATCCTTGGAGTTCTCGCAGGATATGTCTAGGTGCGGAAATCACCACCGCACGTCTGGCATGTTCCGCAATAAGCTGCGGTCCGTTCTGTGCAACTCGGAGCTGCCTCTGTGTGCAACAGAGATGGAGCGGCTACAAGGTTCCTGAAAATAGTTTTTAATTTCTGTTACCTAGAATTCTAATATTTAGCTGAAATTATAATTTCTACTGGGGTTCCAAATCCCTTAGAGGAGGCACTTCTACAAAGAAGAGAAGTCCTGTCCTTGTAAGTAGCAAGGTAGCGAGATTGGCAGCTTCTGATAAAACATTGAGCCCGCGGTGCCACGCTTGTTCGGGGTTCATCCAAGACTAATTTTTATGGTGTTAGATGCAGTTATGTGACATTTCCTACCAGTTCACTCTTCGCATGTATGTGGATCTCTGTCTTCAAACCCCAATTCATATTGCGGCTATGTCTGCAACAGCTTGTAGCTATGGAGATGTCGTAGCTGAGCGAAATGAAGGCCATCAGGGCTCCTCAAACTTCCTGCCTGCTCATGCACTGGTTCCTCTTTAAGGCCCGCCACCATCTCAATCCTGTGACCCAAGAGGCAGCTCTAAACCACAAAACCAATCCGACTTGTCTCAAGGCGAGTGCAGGGTAGGGCTTAGACTGCAGTCCCTGATAACAGCATCCGCTGCTGCAAGCGCATATTTGGCATGACGTTCGGGAAGGGGGACAGGAATGCAGATGTCTCATCGAATGGTCACGGGACGATTACAAGGCCGCTTAAATCAAAGATCTCCAGCCAAAGCACGGAATTGGCCTGTAAGTGTTCAGGCAATGTCCACATCGCATGGTAGGAGTAGTGGGACAAGCAGTCGGTTTGGCCCGATAGGGCAGTGCCTGCAACCTTGGTGATTGCATGCAAACAAGACAACGGCAAGTGACCCATGGACTCTCATGTGAGCTATAGTTAAAACTCCTTGAAAGGGGTTTTGTGAAGGGGATGGTCTAGGGGAGTATTGCAGGGGTTATCAAAGGGGATACTAGGAGTTGAAACTATAGCTCATGTGAGGCATGATGAGAGCGGCACAGGTTGAAGTGACAGCTGCAGGCTGAATTTTGAGATGGTGTTCCGCAGATTTTGCGTCACTTTTTGAACTCACGATCACGAGGATTGTCATCTTGGGGTACATAAGGGGGATTCCAGTCTTGCAGGTTCCCACCCGAAACCCTAAACCCTAAACCCTAACCTCCGTGGCGCTTCGGCGTTGTTGCTAGCCAGTCTACACTGTAGTTTGCACCCCCACTCTGAAGCCCTCCAACCCTCAAACCCTCTCTTGATCCCGAATTGCAAGAACCAGAAATTCGTGAGCCACTGAATTCTGATCGATTGGGAGGTTTGGGGGATGAGCGCTCCACTGATGCTGGCCAACATGGTCGGCGCGGCACTGTGAGTGTCAACTCTACCAGTGGCATGCTACTATTGCTACTCCAACAAAACAGTACTACCACCACCACGACTTATCACACTATGATTGTTGCGATTGTTATTAGTATTATTCTGAGAGGTAGTATTGCTACTTTGTTTCAGGCAAGGGCACACAAGATCTATAGCATCGGGATCTTGTGGAATCTGGTGCGTTCAGGGGTTTAGGTTGCAAGCCCTGCGCGGCTTAGGGGTTAAGGTCTCGGGTTTAGGGCTATACTTTCTGGCCCTCCTTGGCGGGGGCCTGTACAGGGAAACGCATTATGATATTTGTCTTAGCTATTCCTTGGTTCTTCTTGTTTTTAAAATACAAATTTTGCATCAAACCAAAGCAACACATCACAGGTATCAGGATTATGCGAGTAGTTGCCACAGACGTTGCGGAATTCTCAGTACTACTTGGTGTTACAAGCTTTGGCGTGGTCATGCATAGCTATTGAGTCATCAATTCCCCCTAAACCCCTAAACCTTAAAACCTAAACCTTATACCTGAAACTCTACACCCTGCACCTTAAACCCAACACCCTAAAGCCTATAGTCCTCCTTAAGTAGATAGAATATGGGGTATATGGGGATCTTATTATATCATACCCAAAGCCATATTCTATCTACTTAAGGGGGACTATACATGCTATGGGGTTTAGGGTTTGGGGTTGAGGGTTTTAGGGTTTGGGGTTTAAGGTTTAGGGTTTAGGGTTTGGGG